CCAACCCAACCCCACTCTCTGGCTTCCAGCAACAAGGCCTGCTTTTGAGACTGCCCCAGCGCTTGAAAGCTCATTTCTGTATAGCTTATACCTTTCTTTAGTGCTCCTGTCACCTACTACAATGCAACATGCTCCCCCTGATAATGTTCCCTCCCACCCCAGAATTCTTGAATCTTTGGGGTATAGCACAACATCCCAAACGCACGGGAAATACAGTATTCATTATCAAATATTGGGTAATCCATGTTGGTTTACTTCATTTTCCCGCTTGAGTTTCCATTTGACTCCAAATGAATGATATCTATTACGGCGTCTGCCCCAAAGCTTCCATACCCTCATGTTATTCCGATGCATCCTCTCAATGGGACCTTGAATGTATCCCTACTTATGCAGGCTTCTATCAGTAAGCCTCGACGTTTACGCAGCGCCTCGGGGTTGGCAGACTGCCCCTGAAACACCTCTTCCGCCAAGGCTGTGTCCAGGAATAACTCAGAGGGCTCCCCGAAGGTGGCATGGAGATACCTTGCCCAATTCACGGCTTGGGGATACCTTCCCTAGTTTAAGGCCTGCAGGGAAATGCAGGGCTCTGAGACGTGTTGTGGGGATTCGTGTGTTTCTTTGGTGAATCAGGGTCTAGCTTGGATCGCAGCCTTGTTGGACCTTATCGCGTGGCATGTCTTTAGGAATCCTACACAACCTGAAGAGAGGGCCTACCTTAAGGCCACAGGGTTACTGTTGGATGGTTGATTCCGGATTTGCGAGGCTGCTCTGTCAATTCATGTCCAGGAGTATGCGCACGTTTTTTTTTCCAAGAAAGCCAAACTAATCCTGCAGAGCATGCTAGATAAACCCCCTTTGGTTGTCAAGAGTCACGTGACATGTCTGTCCGGTTCAGTCATTGCTTTGTGTCGTGGTTTGCCCTATAGCCATCCGCAAGTTCTCATGTTAGGGCCAACCCCAGCCTAAATCCTAATTGCTCCAAGATGCTAAGCCAAGATCTGGGAACATCCTCAACAACACATGCCCCTGCGTTGTTGCCCTCTTCCTGTTGAGTCCCAAGCCCTCAGACTAAACTCTACAACCTTCGTCCCATGACTCCATGTTTTTCGCACACTCCCAGCACCCCCCCTCTAGCCCTAAAACCCCAAAGCCCTAATATCTAAACACATAAACCTCAAAGCTTTACCTGGCTAGATGTCAAACTTATGGCCCTTTTTTGGGGGCACCTGAAATACAATGTTAGCGGCCGTGTTCTACTTAACATGGATCTCAAAAGGGGCCATAATTTTGACAACTTCCACCTGTACAGCATGTCCAAGAAGCTGTTCGCAGGCGTCCTGGAAACACTGAGTTCAATATTACTACTTACTGTTGCTTTTTTCTACTTCTTCTACTACTACTAC